ATCAGCTTTTCTTTTTTTCTTTTCTTTTTTTTTTTTTTGTGTGTGTCTAACACTATGTAGTTGTGCTAAGGCATTAATTTAGAACATGGTTCTTTCTGAATCTGGTTACAGATATTCCTTCTGGTTTGCAGCACGAGCTGCGAGTACCCTTGACATCAGTGACTTTTGCAGAGCTCAAGAACTTTTACTGGTATCAATAGAAGAGCCTCATTTAAAATGGTTTCCTAGAGATGTATATTCTGCTGGTAGTCAAAATTTTTATGTTAAGGTGTTGCAAAAGCCTTCTGGAATTTATAATACATTGCTGTGCAAACCTGCTGGCGAACAGCAGAACCAGGGAAAAATGTAGGGAATGTTTGTGGTGGAGGCATGTTGTTTAGGAATAGGTTGCTCCTGTGCGCCTGATAAATTACAGACTTTGCAATTACTTGGAATGTACTGATGTTAATATTATCTGAATTAAATTAATAGATCTTGAGGTTTTTACAGGCTTTATCTGTTGTTTTTGTATTACCATGTTCTGAAAATCTCTATTACTCATTTTATGCTAGTGGCAAATTGCATAAGTAGAGCATTGCAGCCTTAATCGTAGTAAAAACGAATAGTGACGGTGTACACTCTGGTATTAGTGACTGCTGGAATTGCTATGAAGAGTTTTCAGAAGCTGTGTCTTTCAGAAATCTGTTTCCCTATATTTTATGCTTTCTTCTTTTGGGCAGTTTGTTGTGCCTGGATGTTTATCTATCTGTTTTTTATGGAAAGAAAAAAAGGAAAACCATTTACTTTCCTATAAAAGGAAATCTTCTGTACTATTTATCCAAAGAGATTTTTATTATACAGCAAGCATTAATTATAGACAGACTACTCTGCAAATCACACTATGGGGAAACACCGTGTAAAGAGAACCATCTTTTGGTTCTGAGAACACCCCCAAGTGCCTGCTGTGTGATTCTTGCAGTTGCTGTGTCATTTCCAGCATTGTCTTCTACTTTGGCCAAGCCACGGTGTGGATGGCTGGCTGGGAGTTCTGACTCATTTTTGTGCCTGTCTGAGAAAATTGCAATAGCTCCTAATACCTCACAGAAGCCTGGTAGACTTTTATTTTCTCTTTTTGCTCAAAATTCATGACTTAACAGGAGTTCCCCATCTTTTACTTTGATCTATATATTTCTGTCTTATTTAGGATCTTCCAGTTTAAAAAAAAAAAACCACTACTAAAAGGAAAGGAAAAAGTTGCTTATCTGCCCATGACTTCTCAAGAAAATTTGTCAGATTCTTATATGAACCATTGCCATTTGATAAGATTTCAGGTACCAACCATGACTGAACTCCATGATTCAGGTTTTTTCCCTGTAGAACAGTGTTAGATTGGCAGATCTGATTTGTTTCACCTTAAAAATAAAATATCTGGTGCCTCTTTTGGAGAAGATAAATTCACATTAAAAATTGCGTTTTGACCTTTCCTTATTGCCTTTCCTGTGCTTCTACAGGAGTCGTGTCAGTCTTGGAAGGATACTGTTGCGTTTTTCCCCCCCAATTTTGAAAATCTGTTCACCAGTCTCTAAGAATACAGAATTCTTTGTCTCTGGTAATGTTTTCTTTTGTTTATTTTTAATGAGTCAGAGCATTAAACTGATCAAAATCATTCCACTAGTATGTCAATTTTCTTTTCCTACTGAAATCTGTTTTTTTAATTTTTCAATTTTGATACTCATGTAACTTCATACATTGAAAATTTTTTTATTATGGGCTACAGATACCATTTATTTGGTTTTGCTATGTGGTGAATATTTGTATAAAGAGATAACCGTGCTATTGAGGCTACGAAAGCATGCATTCTACTTAAATCAATTGATTTAATTTGAAAATATATTCAAGTGATGGGAAAACGTGGTGTTTTAGACCTGCTGTGCTTTCCTAATAAGGTTACATTTTATGCAGTAATGATTATTCGGGCTTATTGTAAAAGTTATCAAAGATAGTGTGTAATGTTTACTTTAATGCATTACTTCTATCTCCTCTGTATTTTTTGAAGGCCAAGTAATATTTGTAAGGAACAGAAAACCTATTCAAATGAAAAAGAAGCCTTTTTTTTTTTATCTTGGAAGGAAGTCAGAGTCATTGCACGATGTTTGATTAGTATTCATGGCGTAAAAGGAAGTTATTTTCAGGGTAAAGGAATTTGTGAAAAGATAATTGGTTAGACCAACATTCTCATTAACCTAATTTGCATTAAATGTGCTTTTATGAATTGTAGTTATTGCTTTTCCATTTGAAAGGCATGCTTTGTTAACTTATTTAAAGAGCCTAGTTAAGCTACAGTTTAAGTCATACCCTTTAATTCAGCAATATAAAACCGTGGGTCTGTTATTAGCTACCTTGTGGGTGTGGAGAATCATAAGCCAGTTCTTAATCCCAGTGGATTTTCCTGCTG